TATATATATATATATATTTATATATATAGCTTTGTACGGTGAAGATAAGAGCAACTTCTCACGCAATTTCAAAGCAGCATCCGTTAGTTTATTTGAGACAAAAAAATATTGTCATTTTCTCAAAATGTAATTAGAGCCTGTACTTTGTAAGGATTTGGATTTTGAAAATAAATAAATACATAAATAAAATCTTTCCAGCAAAACTCAAAAAAATATTCAGTTCCGGGAACCAAATAGTACGTCCGGACAGCAGCGAGAATCAAGCCACATCACCGTCTATTTTATGGGATCTGATTTTCATCATTATCCCAATATATGTGGTCACAGAATAATTTCTCACTTCATAGGGCTTTGATAACTTGGGTCTGTTTGGAGCGGCGGTAAAATGATGTTGCGACCTCGTATCATAATGGATATATTATATTTTGACAATTTTTTTGTATTTTTTCACTGATCATGACTAGGTATGGTGATAACTTTTTAGCTATCATCTGACTGTTCTAGAAAAAAAAAATTATAATAGTTACCTTAATTTTTAAAATATCAGATTATTTTTCAACAACTTAACAGTTGGTATTTAATAAACTGCAGCCGCCCCAAACATATCTCGATTGACAAGGTAGAATTATAAACTTTTAAAAATACATTTAACATTTATGCATGTGAGAGAGTTTGATCAGACCAAACAAATTTTAACAAATCACAGAAAATATTGCAATAACATTGATATGACTTTTAATGTAAAATTGTAGCTGTTAGATAAAAATTTTCATACATACCGCTTAATTTCTATGTGTTTATATATCTAACACCTAAACTTTAATTTTTAATATGCCAATTTAGCTAAGCATGAAATGGAGTATTTCACTTCTTAAAAGTTAAAAAAGTATATGTTTTATGTAATATGAAAGATTTAGGTGGTTTTTAATATAAAAAGTAAATTTTAATGTTAAATATGTAGATGCATAAGAATTGGTTGGTATGTCTGTAAAAATGGCCCACTAAAAACAAAAAGTCTAAATTCAAAGCATTGTGGTGGTAGAAATGATTGTTTGAAGAGTATTCTCGCTAGGGCTGTCAAGAAAGCTCGTTGTTCGCGAATAGGATTAGTCAATGAATTCGTGTTCGATTTGTTTGATAAGTTAACGAGACGGACGTGAACAAATTTTTTTCATTCGGTTAGTTAAACGAACCAAACACGAACAATGATGCGTTTGTTCGTGTTCGAATCGTTATTGTTTGAAATATAAAATAATTTAAAATAATTATATATAAAATTTTTTTATAAATTTTAATATATAATAAATTAATAAGAATAATAATATATTAATATATTCTATTAGTAATATATTAATATAGAGATTATATATTTATATAATATAAGTTATATAATTAATATACCATATTATTTATATATATTAATATTAGGGATGTCAAACTGGCTCGTCGTTCGCGAACAGCTCGTGTTCGGCTCGTTCGTTAAGAAACAAATACGAATAGTGGCTTCACGAACAATTTCGAACATGAGCTCATTTCAAACAAATTAAATTTTAAACAAGCCGAACTCGAACACAAACTCTGTTCCTTCGGGTTCGATTTGTTTACGCCCCTAATTCTAAGGGACAATTTTTTTCACTTTAACTAGTCTAAATTATTGTCCCGCATGCGTACTTCTCGCATAAAGCCTTGTCCTCGAGGAGGAATTTCACCGGGGCAACTGATTTGATAGCCGGATACGTGGGATCCACTGCGTCCCACAGTACGTAGCATTGCGAACCTCTCGCATGCGAAATTTTGAGAACGAGATGTTGCCTTGGTAAGATAAACGTGGTTCTTTCATCAAAATCATTTTCTAAACTTTTTTTATCACAATATATCATTGTTATGTACATAATAGAAATATTGAACTTACAATTTTCTAGAATACATTGTGTGTATATTACTCTCATTTAAAATCAAATAGACTATAGCATTGTGGTAATTTTTAGGCATATAGTCTTTGATTAATATGAAAATCTTATATAATATGCATTAATATTAGCAAATATTATAATATAGCCCTCCAATCATGAAGTTGATATTTTTAGTAAAGATTTTGAAGTAATTTAGAAATATTGGTAGAGTCATCTCCAGCTAATGGGATGTTGTTCACATAAATTAAAGTTTACAACAGTAGACAAACTTTGTTAAGATACAAGTAAATTTTACAAATCTTTCGCACAATGCTTGTTTTGATCCATAGATAGTTTTTATGTCAACCGTCGTGATAAAATTTTAATGTGAAAATGAATTATACATGTCTGTTTTAATAATAGACCAAAAATGGTACATGGTCAAATGAAGTAGAGCATAAATTATGGGCATTTTTAGAATGGATTGAATGTTTTGTCTAATCAAGTTCATATTTCTACCTATAACTTAGAAACGAACTAGTTTCCTTGAGAGTAATGTGCTTTAAATTTCTAAAGCATTGCCTTCATGTAATGGTCATCCTTAATCTCAATGGAAGATGAGTCCAGAGCTATGTTAGCATGAGGTGTTTTGAAGGCTAAAACATCAACAAATGTAGGAAAAATCTGGTCAATGGGAAGGGACTAATCTTGAAAATTTGATAAATTAAGTGAAGTAGGTTAAGTGATATAAGGAGTGGGATAAGCCAATGTTGTCTTAAAATAATGAGGGGGCGGGGGATGTGGTGTTGTGAAGAGTATGTGAAGGAGGTGTTTTTAGATGCAAAGGAATCAAACCTGGTGGCTAAAATGCATGCCCTAACTAAAGAGTTATATTATTGGAAAAGAATCTTCATGACAAAGTAGATAATGAAAATTTGAACTTTATGAACAGATATATGAGAGCAATAATAACATTTTTGAATGGTAAAATAATCAAGAAATATGAAATGAGATGTTGAATTTGGTGCTAATTGATGTAGAGATTGTGGTTGAAGCTAAGGATAATACAAACATCTAAATGTTTAACGTTCAAGTGTAAAATTATTCTCAAAACACATAAATATGGAGTTACAACAAATTTCTCTTGATTTAAAAAGAATGTTATTTGTAATTGAGTTATCAATTGAAAGACATTGCTAAGGCGGATAATGTTGTACATGCAATTAAAAATAAATTTCAACAGTGATAAAGGATATGGTCCACGATCATACGCTGGGAGGAAGTTGATCGAACATCTTACTTTTAGTTACACAGTAACAATACCGTGAAGAGATGACAGACAACCATTATGATGCAATAAATTCATACTAATAGTGGTTAGTTGTTGTTTTCAAAATGTTTAGACTTTGAATAAAGCAATGAAAACAAAATGGTTATATAGAAAAAGATGGAATCAAGTTCATAAGGTGGGTGAATAATCAAAATAAGGAAACACTTCTAGTACAAAAAAAAAGGATGGGGTTTCCCCTATAAATAGGTCATAGGAGATTTGATAAATGTTTATAATGAAAGGGAAATTTCATACATAGTACTCAACATTTGATTATTTACAAAACTATCAGTCTCATTCATTCGATTTTCAAATTGTCACGCAAATAGCAAAATCACAATAAAATTAAAATTTTTATTTTCTATGTTTATCAAATTAACAATTGTTTGATACCATGTATGATAGTTAAATAAAATGATATGAACGCTAATTTTTTAAAATTTAACTTTTTAATGCTATGCATGTAATTATTCCTAAAAAGAAATTAGATATTTTCATTTTTTTATAGCATTTTTCTTAATTAAATTCATATTAATAAAGTTAAGAGAATAATGTCACCTACAAAAAAAAAACAAAAACAAAAACAAAAATCAACAACTATAAGCAGCAGTCTTCAGCCTCTTCTCTTCTTCCCCTCCTTCCCCCTCTCTCTCTCTCTCTCTCTCTCTCTCTCTCTCTCTCTCTAAATTTTCATGTCATGCTTCACTTCTCTGTAAATCGCTTTCTCCTTCTCTTCCTCCTCCTCGCCGCCGGCTCCGCCGCTTCGGCTGCAGATCCGCCGCCATCCCCTCCATCAAACGGCTCCACAGTATACGAACTTCTCCCCAAGTACGGCCTCCCTCCCGGCCTCCTCCCCAACACCGTCACCTCCTTCTCCCTCGCCAGTAACGGCGAATTTGAAGTAAACCTCGCTGCGGAGTGCTACGTCAACTTCGAATACCTGGTCTATTACAAGCCCAAGATCACCGGCGTAATCCGCTATGGCGAGATTGACGATCTCAAAGGCATCCAAGTCCGCCGCTTCTTCATCTGGTTCGATGTCGACGCCATTAAGGTCGATCTCCCGCCCACCAATTATATCTACTTTGATGTTGGGCTGATTACGAAGAAACTTAGCGTCGGGCAGTTTAAGAACGTTCATTCATGTCAGAAGGGGTTGTCGGAGGACTTGTTGGAACATGACGTAGGATTGTATCAGGTAAGGGTTATTCTTTCAATTTGATTCAGTTTATTGTTGATTCTGGCATGAGAATCTGAATTTTGCTCTGAAATTCGTTTGATTTTTCATTTCTTTGAGGGGAACTGATAACCCTAAGAAGGGATTATGATTAAAAATAAAAGGTGTGGGAGTTGTAATTTTAGTATTAGGTGTGAGAGTTCGAATGAGTATGGGAAGGAAGCTTCGGAGTGAGTAGCATTACTCTTTAATAGAAGGGGAGGATTACAAGGACGGATGAGAACATCAAATCCTCTGCAGTTACCAGATTCCTAAGTTTCCTTCATCTTCACAAACCAGTTTGTGTGGATAGCATTAAATTCATCAAAATTAGAGTAATTTAGAATAAATTAAAACTACTGATTCAATTTCAGCTGGGTGGAATTGAATCCATAAAAAATCTTAGAGATTTTTACTATAATTTATGGATTTAATCTCATTAGCATAAAATTTTGCTGAGGTCTATGTTGCTGAAATGAGGGGATCTTCGCATAAGGAGCAACAAGAAGAGACTTGTGATCACGATGTTATTGTTTAGGAAGGTGGTGCACTGGAAACAACTCAACAGTTGCTCACAAGTTAAGACAAAGGGATGAACAAATCAATAGAATGGAGAAGAAAATGGAACAAATGATTGCTGTTATGACATCTCTACAAGGTTAGAATTTTGCTTCACAGAGAGCAGGATATAGCCGAGGTTGCTCGTGTGATTGAGAAAAGAAGGTCATAATGGTTGAGGAAGATGCTGATAATTGGCATTGTAAGGTTTCTAAGGTTAGACCAATCCCCAAAGTAATACTACAACAACAACAACAACAACAAAGCTTTAATCCCACTATGTGGGGTTGGCTACATGAATCCTTTTTCTCCATTGCGTGCTATTTAGTGTCATATTTTCATTTAGTTTTAATACATTAAGATCATTTTTTATACAATATGCCCAAGTCTTCTTAGGCCGACCTCTGCCTTTCTTAACGTAAGTCGAATCTAAAACATCCACTCTCCTAATAGGATCATCAGATGGTCGACGTTTAATGTGACCAAACCATTTAAGACGACTCTCTCTAATTTTGTCCGTCGCTGGAGCAATTGAAATGGGTTCAGTACCCTAAAGCAAGCATTGCAACAGGCGTGCCTAAAATGGGATGAAGATTTATGCACTTTTTCTTTTGGACAAATATTAAAATATAGCTATTTGCTCTTTGTTTACTTGTAAAAAATTGAACTTTTGTTTTTAATTGCCAAGATTCCGGTGGTTTTCGGAAATGAGTAATACTTGGGCTTACTTGTTTTATTGATTACACTTAGGATTTTACTTGTAATATGGTGAGGAAATGTTTTTTTTATTTCCTTTTTTTTTTGAAAATTTACTTACATAGCACACAATTCACATGTATTTGCATATCTCACGCTTGAACTTTCATATTACATACATAGCACTTTGGTGCTTTAAGCCTATGCATCAAAAGGTGGATTTCACTTTTAAAAAAGTGGTAATAGTGTAATTGTTGATGTGATATTAAAGATTTGAGTGTTATGTGTTAAGACATGAAAACTTATATGTGAGATATGTAAATACATAAGAATTGTGTGCTATGTATATAGATGAGTAGCATTTTTATAAAGAGAAAGGTTTCATAAGTCCACCTTAGGCTAAAATCCATTATGTTGCATGTTAATCATTCTTTTTCATGTGTTATAACTTCATAAAGAAGAAAAATGATTCAAAAGCTTTTCATGCAAGAATAGGATTAGTGGTTCTGAACTAAGCTGGGCTCTTGAAGTATCCATCTTCACTAATAGCACTGGATCCCATGTTGAAGTGAGTGATTGCTGAATTATCTGCTTAGTGATGATTTTCTAGGTGCTTTTTCTGTTAAATTTTATTATTATTATTATGTTTTTTTTCTGAATCTTGTTGAAATGTGCAGCTCTCAGAAGATGCTGGCATGATAATAACAGAATAAGGGTAACAGAGACCAAAATCAACTCATATTTTGAGCTTCAGGCCTCCTGTAATGTCTTTAATTTGCGATTTCGTACTATTTTTGGGTCTAAATGGTTAATGAACTTCTGTTAAGCTTAGATACTCACTATGGTTGCATTCATTAGTATTGTGAATCTTCATATTTACTATAGAATTTGAATAATTATATTGTGCTGTATGTTCTTGCTTCCTCTTCAACTTTTATTGGTGATTTGTGCTTTATGTGCTTACTACTTATTGCATTTTTTTTATAATTATTATTTTTTTAATTATTATCTTGAACTAGTAAATTAGGATTATGTTCATATTTTAGTTATATATCCATTTGATGATTTTTTTGGGATTAATTTGTTATTTTGTTTTTTGTCAACATATGTTTTATGTGTAGGAACAAATTAGCTGTCTTTCAAATTCGATCATATATTTATGAAATTGTTATGCATTGAAGCTTTTTGACGAATGGCCTGAATTGCATGACACGGCAAAGAAAATAGGCCATTTACATGCATACCACACAGTTCTCATGTATTTGCATATCTAACACAATTGCACAAACTTTAGAAGTTACATCCAATCACATCAAAATTATCACTCGCATACTTTTCAAAAGTTAAATACATATTTCAATACATAGGTTTATCACATGAAAGTGTTATAAATATAAAAATAGAAATTTAGGTGTAATTATATGATAAATATGTAATTTTAAAAAAATAATATAAAATTGATGCGTGCTAGAAGATTTGCAGTGGTAGAGTAATAAATTATCGTCTTAGCGTTGTACGAAGATCTAACACACACTCAGATAAAAGAAAACAAGTAGAAACATCCAAATTTTTTATGTGGAAAACCTGTAAAGGGAAAAACCACGGAGTCTGGCTCAGTTGTAAGGAATGAGCAGCGGACGATAGAAATTGGTGGTGGTTGGCTGGTGATGGTCGATGGTGATCGACGATAGTCGACGACAAACGGTGGCGGTCGGTGGCGGTCAGCGGTCGTCAACCACGGTCGACAGTGGTTGACGACGTCAGGAGTGATGTTAGACTTCAGCTCCTTAAAGCTTCGAGTTCTTTTTCATGCTTCAAACCCAGGCCTCAAGCAGTCCCCTATTCATGAGAGGGGTGTGACTATATTTATAGAGTTATGGGTGGATTAATGCATGAATGTGAATCAATTTGATCGGACGACTCAGAGGGCTTTTCTCGATCATACGATGTTTGATGGGCATTTCAGTACCCTAACGATGTCAGAATCGAATGATCTTGGGCTCATTCGATTCTACTTGTCAAGACACTCGATTCAATTATAAACTTGTCTGATTTGACATCTGTTTGACGTTCCAAATGTGTACAGAAAGCTTACAAAAACAGTTTAATGGCTTGATCGGGGCTCAATTTTGTTCAGATTGTATCAATATTGGTACCATTGGGTATGTCCCGTCGAACATGTCAGTTTGATTATAGGTTCACTGAAATCAGAGCACTTGATGATTTTTTATCAAATGTTAAATATTTCTTGCTAAAAAAATGCATCATAATCTATGTCATGACATGAGATTCATGTCAGATGTTGGAATTTTCTTGGCGGCGTATCAAAAATGCTATAATAATATTATTTATTCATTATTTAATTAATTTGAGCTAAAAATAAAAATTTATTTCTGTTCAACTCTTTTATAAATTGAGCTTAAAAAATTTATTTTGCGAACGATGAGTGTTTTAAAGCCTTAGTTGGAATTTGATATGGTTGGTGGTCATGGCATTTAGAAATAAAAATGATTTTATGCAGTGGTTAGATGAATAATAAAACTCAATTATTAAGTGGGATATCACTTTTGATATTGTTTGATGAAAGCTTAGTTTCGCACAGGGACATAAACTATTCATTTTTAATAGTTTTGGTATTTTAGATGAAAGCAAATCCAATGATTGGATGGTCCTTTATTTTTAGGGGCATTTACATGCATACCACACAATTCTTATGTATTTACATATCTAACACCTAAACATTTATATTCACAAGCATACCACTCAAATTTTTAACATCACAAAAAAATATCACCTTTATTGTCTTTCAAATTTGAAATATTTAAATATTTATTTAACCACTTGGATATATATATTAAGTGTGTTAAAGAAATATAGATCCAAGTGGTTAAATAAGTGTGTTCTATTTAAATATATTGATAAGTGTGCGTACATAAAAGCATTGATTCGGCAGTTCAAACAACCACCCTGTGTTAATTTTACAAATAACAATATTCCTAATGCTACCTATGTAATTATCACATTGGTGAGGTGCAATTGCATGAATAATGCTCAAAACATTGCTATTTACAAAAACATCACTCTCTTTGGGCATTAATTTTTATCATATTCCTGAATGGATTCACAGGAATTGGCGAGGTGCAGTTCTATTTTCGGCTCGTTAACTCAGCGAACGAGCCGAAAACGAGCTTCTTAGCAAGCCGAACACGAGCTGTTTGCGAACAACGAGCTGTTTTGACAGCACTAATTGTGTGCTTCCAATATTGAAATTAAATACTATATTTTTGCTCAAAAATAAGCATCTGAAATACATGATCGATTCATGTGAAGCAGCATCAATATAATTTCCACGATATTTTTAGAAAATCTAAAAAAAAAAAGAAAAGACAGGGCAATTACATATATACCACCAGAAATATGAATGTTTTGGCGGACTGTACTGTAAACATCCCAACTAACAAAAAAAAAAAAAAAAAAAAAAAAAAAAAAAAAAACTTTTTACTTTTTACACTTGGGCCAAAGTCTATTGGGTTGCCAATGAAGACCTCATACAGGGTCTGAAAATGGCTGACAGGCCGCATACATGGGCCTTACGTTTACTTGAAGCCCGTATAGTAGCAGGCCTTGCCTGTGGGGATATGAGGTGGCCTGAGGTACGGACCTCTGCATCGACGGAGGCGAAGGAAGTGCCGGAGGTGGTGGCGGGGGCGGCGTTGGGGGCGGCGGTGGAAGAAATGTTGGTGGGGTTTCTTGTGACGACGATAGGATCGTTCCAGGTTCGGCCCGATGAACCTTGGCGGCGGAAGGAGACGGACGATCTCTGTAATTTTGACATTTTCTTAAAATCGAATTGAATTTGTGAATTTGTATCTATTGCTTTAAAGGTGGGATTTTTTGGAGGAGAAATGGAGAAAAAAAAGTAATCCCTTTTTGTCTTTGTTTAGGGTTTTATTGTTGTGAAATTGGGTCCGATGATTTCATCTACTTGTTTTAGTTATTTCTTAGGGGTTCTTAACCCACAATCTATATTTACGGTGGGATATATTTAACTAAATTAGATTTTTTTTTAGGGAAATTTACATTGTAGCTCCCAATTCTTATAGATTTTATCTCACATCTAAATTTTATTTTTCACACACATAACAATTTATCTATAGATGAAAGGATGGATTTGGTTATTAAAAGGTGATAACAAGTGTTTTTTTTTTCATATGACACTCGTCATTATGAAGGTGTTGGTGTGAGTAGGGGTGTAAATGAGTCGAATGAGGCCAGTTTGGGCTCGCTCGTGTTCGGCTCGTTTATATTTAAAACTCAAAAAGTTTGTTTGTATTTGACTCGTTTGTTTAACGTGCCGAACACTAGCTATTCACGAACAAATAGTTGTTTTGAGAATCCTAATCGTTTAGCCATACAATGTTATGAGTTGGGGCAAAATTTATATTAAAACATCATTTGAATTTAATCTAAATTTTTTTATTATATTTTCTTAATTAAAACTTATAATTGATTATAAATCTTTGTAGCCTTGTAGTTAATTAATTTTAAAAAATACTACTATTCAATGCATATATGTTTGTATATATTCGGCTCGTTAACTTAGCGAACGAGTCAAACACGAGTTGTTCGCGAACAACAACCCGTTTTGACAGGCCTAGGTGTAAGATAGGCAAATATAAAAGTTTTGGGTGCCTTTTTATGTAAAAGTCTTTTTTTTTTTATTATTGTTAACTTTACTTTAAATAGGACATTTGGATGGGAATCACACAATTTATGGACATAACATCTAACACTTAAATTTTCTTTTTTCATACCTAACACTAAAATATTTAATATCACATCAAATGTATCTTTTCATGTATAAGTTATGACACCAAAATATTATAAATATAAATGACAAAATTTAAATGTTAGATATGTAAATATGTACGGAAATTTCTCTTGAGACTTCAATTAAAAATCACTATAAAGAGTCTGTTTCTTTGCATTCATCAGAAAAACATGTAATATACAAATATTTTAAGGGAGAAATCGTCAAAGCTTTGAAATTGCTTTGCAAAATTCTAAGATTACAAATTTTCCTACCCATCCAAAATCTCATATTAAATTGCTTTGCTAAATTCTTCGATCATAATTTTCCACAAGGGTCTGTATGAGCAATCACCAACTCATAGTAGATGAGGTTGGGACACGTCATTTTTTCCTTTCCGGATTTGCCGTGTAAAAAATTTTTGGTATCTCTACTGTCACTTTCATTACTTTGTTAAAAGGATAATACATTACTCCACCACCGTGAATTCTCTAGCAAGCATCAAACAAATCTTACACTTATAAAATACATTGAATATTCTTAAAGCATATATTTTTTTTGTTAAAATGAAACATAATAATCCAAATTTACAGAACACTCGTAGAGAGTAAAACATATATTCTGATAAGCTGATTGTCTGTTTGGTTTGTGCGTTTGGAAAACAACTGATTTGCAGTTGTTTCTTGATAAATGACTTTTCTGCCCCTGATCTGGATAAACTGTTTAGTTTGTACGATCATAAAACTCATAAAAAAGTACGACCAAACAACACAAACTACTAAAAAATGATAAAATCCACTTAATAGAAAAATCGGAGTATCACAATTTTCAAGTAATTAAATTGCATATTTTTTTCAAACTGAGGTGCTTAATTATTATCATCTTATTTATTATTAATAATTAATTATGAGTCCATTTAAATACATGCTAATAATGTGATGATAACAATCCCGCTCAATTGAAAAATATTACGTCCGGAGCACCGGATGTTCGAACAATAACGTGATGTGTCGCACGACACCGCTTGCACGATGCATGTTGTGATTCCACTTAAATCCCTTCCTTATTTACTAATTGAACGCTATTCTGAAAACCTCAATAAGTAAGAAAAAATAGAATTCCAACAATAAATTTTAGAAGACAACAGAAAGAAATAACTTTACATATTAATTAACCAAATAACAAAGCAAAGTTCTTCAATCCCACTCAAATCTGCATCATTTCAATATCCTAAAACCCAAAGCTCTTCTTCTCTCCCAAATCATATAAATCATATCTCCAACTCCCCCAACACTAACTTCACTTATCCTCTCATAGAGAATGGAGGAGGTATAGTTTTGGCCGAGAACGTGGGATACTTTAACCAACCGAGAGAATTCGATGAGTGAGCCATCGAAGTCCATCACTTTGGCAGTCGGTGGGCTAATGTTGGTGGAGGAGGTGGTGGAGGAGGAGGAGAAGCAGGAAGCAGTTTGCCTGCTAAGGAAGCTGTGTTGAAGGAACAAGCCTTGCTTGGAAGAGAAGTGCCGAAGAAGCAGGGAACGGCTCTGCAAGCTCGATCGCGACCGAAGGAAAAGGAATGTAGCGTAGAGAATTCGATCGTGATTGGAGGGCAGCAGAGTAATTCGAGACTAAACAGAACGAAGGAAAAGCCGCCCGCGGGGATCATCCTGCAGATGATGTTATTCGCAAAATAGAAACCGTAATTTCCAAAACACAGTTGAAACGTGCAAAACAAACTATAGAACCTCATTTTCAAAACGTCACCTGTTGTTTTAAGCTGACCCAAACGAGCCATGAGACTGCCGTAATTAGCACATAAAATATAACTCAAAAAATACTTTTAATTCCATGCTCCAATAAAATTTTTAACATTAAAAATAATTATTTTAATACCTAATCAATTTTTATTTTCAAAATTAGTTACAAATCAACCTAACTAAATATTTATCTGACATTTAAAAAAAAATTCTGCAAACCATTGGCGGAGTCAACTTCATTTGTTTTAGTTAATAATCAATTCTCAATAATGCATCGGCATTCATATTTTATTCTTTAACCGTACACGTCGGAACGTGGTGGGCCCCAGCCTCCTGTTGTTCAACTTCTTCTTCCCCGCTATAAAACCAGTCTCCCCGACCATTTACTCCCACAGCACAAAAAATTAGAGAGAGAATGGCGATCTGCAAGCTCCTTCTAGCAGCAACCGCATCCCTTCTCCTCGCCTACGCATCAGCCGCCGCCTCCACCGTCCACGAAGAGCTCTCCAAGTACGGCCTCCCGCCGGGTCTCCTCCCCGACTCCGTTATAAGCTACTCGCTCGGCGGCAATGGAGAATTCGAAGTGCATCTCTCTTCTAAGTGCTACGTTAAGTTCATCGAAATTGTCTTCTACGACAAAAAAGTGAAGGGCAAGCTTTCCTATGGCCAGATCTCCGATCTCGAGGGCATCAAGGTCAAGAAGTTGTTCGCCTGGCTTCCAATCACTGGAATCGTCGCACATCCCGATGATGAAAAGCTGGATTTCCAGGTAGGGTTCTTATCCGAAGTGCTTCCGTTTTCCTTATTCGCGACGATTCCGCATTGCAGAGCGGGGAAGGGATCGTATCGTGGAATAGAGGGGCTGGTTGCAGAGCAAGCCCTCGCTACCTCTGAGGTATTTTTTTTCCTGATCTCTTATTTCTAATTGTTTCGGGATCTGAAAGCATTGGATTGGTCTGAGGGATCGCGATGATGAGCTTCAGTGGTTTTTCCTTTTTTTTGTTCTGCTTAGGGAGGATTAGGGTTTTTATTTTGGGCGATTACATACACTGCTATTTACAAATCAAACCCTAACCTCAAATTCTCATTAACTTGATCGTCACATCGAACCGTTCGATAGGTCAAAAAAAAAATATCTGGTCTTTAATTTATATATCTTAATGTTTGGTGTGGCCTCTATGTAATTATCCTTTCATTTCATTGGAAATTATTTGGAAGATTTACACATATACCACTCAGCTATTATGTATTTACATATCTAACACCTAAACTTTAATTTATATATATGCTATGTATTTCACTTAAAAAAAAAAGCTAAAATAGCTATATATTTTATATTTTATCTCTCTTTGAAAAATTTGAGTGCTATAAATGTAAAATGTAAATTTCAGGAGTTTGATATATTACATAGGTCTTGGGTGGTAAATAAATATAAGAAGCACCTCTAGCACAAATTCTAAGATTCCAGTTATTAGGATTTATTAAATTTTATAAATTAAGATTTAGCAAATCTTTGATTGAATCATAGATGACAAACATGATTAATCTTTAATTACTTAATTATCAAGCTAATTAATAATTAATTAGAAATTTAATGAACCAATTAAATGTGAAGCAATAGTTTGATATATATTAATTAATCATTAATTATGTATTCAGTTAACAGCCATCAATTCTAATTAAATCTGATTAAATTTTATTATTTACAGGTTTGAAGATTAGACATGCGGTGAGGGACGGCAAAAGTTGTGGGTGTGGTTTTCATTCAGAGCCTTATCGTTTGCCAATAAACATGAAGAGGGAAAGGGAAGCATCTCTCGTATCATTTCAGAAATTGTCTTTGTGAGTTCTAATAATCTCTCGTGTCATTTTCAGCTTGCTGTCGTGGCGGTGATGTGTGAATTTAATCTATTTTGTTCAAAGAGGGCGGAGTTTAGCTTTTGAGTATGATGTTGCATAATGCATCTTAATAGTATATTGTAATATGTTTTTATTAAATAGAAAATTATTTAAATTTAAATATGATCTAAATTTCGTGTCTAATTACCCAAATCGAGCGGCAATACAACGGCGATTTGTGAAGGTTGGCAAGCCAAATGATAGGATTGCAGCGTACATGAATGAACGTCACACATGATCATGATGGTTCAATATAAAGTCATGATCGAGATTGTTGAGGAATCAAACAAAATCGCAAAGAGCGTGACCTAACCGTACTGCGATACCGTCACGAATTGAGACGACTGGGAAGCCAAACGACGGGATCACACTATAATAGAGTTCCAAAACCGACTCAAGAGTAATTACGACAAAAAAGGATGGTTTGGAGAAGATATTAGAGAAAGAGTTGAACCAAATCAGATCTGGAAAGGAGCGTTTCTCAACTATCGAGAGGTAGGTTGTCCACGGAAGAGAGATTCATGGTTATGGAAGAAATGATGAAGTTCATGGAGTTATACGCAAATGGACCATTGCCCGCTGCAGGATCGAGCAAGGGCATAGGAATTAGACTCGAGCAACAACAATCTGAAGAAATTATGCAACATTAGGGCAGCATCGTCGCCTTAGGCTGATCTAGAGCCGCACAATTAAGCAAAGGAATAAGAGCGGACATGAGAGGCAGCACTTGGAAGGAATGGCACGACACCAGATGATTGGAACAAACGAAAGTAGCCAAAATCTAGTAAAGGAGCTGGGAACAGACTCGAACGACCACAATTGGAAGAAATCGCATGACATCTGAATCGCTGGAACAAACTAAAGCACGCAGGATTAAGAGAAGAAGTAGGGAATAGATTCGAGCGGTAACATCTCAAGGTAATGACGCAACATAGAGGTTTGAAATGAGTGGCAACAGGAGAAACGAGATAACTTGCAATTCGGGGCCAGAAAATATCGACGGAAAGGATTGTGGCATGGATCACCAACCACGTCAGTGCCCTTTGCCGTGGCAGTCTTCTGTGAGGAAAAATATTCACGGGTAATAATGGGAATGAGACAGGTTGAGATGAGCATGGAAGTTTGTAAGTGTTTGAATCTAACATTGTGGAGTATTTAAGAGGGGGACTAAGATGGTGGTTTTGACGGTGATTATAATTTGTGCAAGACTTCAGTAATGTTCAAGATTATGGTAAGTTCAATTCAAAACACGGGGTTGGGATACTTGATTGAATTGCATCGCAAGGAAGAGACACATAATAGAGACTTCGTAGAGATTCCAATGATCGATGAGGTACTGAATGAGTATTTTGAGGCTGCATTTTTCTCCCAAACTAATTTGAAGTCAGGATACCAACAGTTTCGGATAAAACCGAAGAAAATGCACAAGACTGCATTTCTAACTAATGAGGGTGTATTTTTGGGAGGGGAGCGTTGTTATGTGGGGAGCCATATGATTGCATCCACTAACAATTTTCTCTCTTCCACCTTGACGATAAGTGTATTTTTGGGATGGGAGTATTTTTACGCCAACGTCTCAGAACAACTTAGTCTTTAATTATTTATTATTGTTTAGTATAAATTGGCTAATATATTTAGGGTTAAGGTTATGCAAAAGATTGTTGTCTTGAGCCTTAGGGTTAGGATTTGTGAGAGATTTCCTACCTCTCAAATTGCAGGTGATTATCTTATATATTCATGTTTTTTGATGTTCTTGCAATAAAATATTCATTTGCCCTATTTTTTGTGGATTGCTTGAATCGTATCAAATTCCTTTTCTCCTAAGTGACAAAAAAGAATCACAAGAGAATACACCCACTAACAGATTTCTTGAAGGTTGAATCATCCATACCCCACCAAACAAGCATAAAAGCATATATGAAGGAATTTAGATGCATCAAACGAACTGCTAAGCAGATGGCCGACAACAATAACAGGAACAGATATCTTACTTGCTGTGTTCTATCTCCATGAATAGAAGTCGCAGGAAATCCATTCATACATAACCAGTGTTCCAAGGAATCAGCTCCTTTCTTTGTCTCCACAAAAACTAACAAGCATAAAAGCATATATGAAGGAATTTAGATGCATCAAACGAACTGCTAAGCAGATGGCCGACAACAATAACAGGAACAGATATCTTACTTGCTGTGTTCTATCTCCATGAATAGAAGTCGCAGGAAATCCATTCATACATAACCAGTGTTCCAAGGAATCAGCTCCTTTCTTTGTCTCCACAAAAACTAAAGTCAATGCTTGCTGTCGCAGTTAAAACAGAAGTAAAATTAATCGGAAACGTGCGAGCTCTCTCGTCTCCCTCTCCGATTTCGGCTCGCCCAGAGCATGCACAGAAGAAGCTTTGGCTCCCTTGCCTCCTCCGGATTTACGGCGATCCTCAGGTTCTCTCGCTCTCTCTCTCTCTCTCACCATAGGTTAAGAATTTGAAAGCTATGAGGAACCTACAATGACATCAATACCTAACTAAATGCATAATTAACCACCCAATAAATATGTTAGATATGACTCATATACCAGAATTTGGAGTCTCCTGGAATGAAGATGTGCGTCTCCTGGAATGAAGAGGAGTGTCTCTTGAAATTAAAGAGGTGTATCTCCTAGAATGAAGAAAAGTGTCTCTTGGAATTGAAGAGGTGTGTCTTGGAATTTAGTGGGTTGGGGGGAGCGAGGGCGTGTTAGTGATTTTATAACCCTATGGGTATGTGCTGGACACATCTGAAATAGTGAAATTTACCGCTCTGCTCTCAAGGACGTAGGCATCTTTGCCAAACCTCGTTAAATCTCCGTGTTCTTCTGGATTTGTATCGATTTTTGTTTTTTTCTTTGCTATAATTTCTTAATTATTGGTATCAGAGCTAAGTTCTAGGGCAGGTAAGAAAAAAATTTCGGCCGCACAGAAAGTTCGCGATTTCGCAGAAGGAGATTCGGCGATTGTGCGGTGGTTCGCGATTGCGGGAGGGGAGGAATAGGATCGCGACAGAGGCGAATCGTGCATCTGGGCTTCTTCCGCGACAGGCAGAGGTGATCTTCTGCGACAGACAGGGGCTTCTTACACGACAGGCAAAGGCGATATTTCGCGACCAGGCAGCAGGCTTCGGCAAGGAGGTTCGCGATTAGGATTTGAGCGCGATAGAGGCATTTGGCGACGCAGAGGCAAATTCGGTTTCGCGAGATTAGTTGGCTGCGCGAAGGAATTTCCTTGAATCGGTGCCAAGCACGAATAGGCCCGTGTAAATAGATAGTATTCATGTACTCAGCAAATACAAAGATCTTGTGCAGATGCTATGGCAAACATGCCCGTGTAAATAGATAGTATTCATGTTATAAATCCAATTACAAAATCTAAAGCATGCCACAAAGAGAAATGGTAAAATATATGGGACAGCAGAGAATCTCATAGATCCATCATCAAACCACTTTTATAACAGTGACCATTGACTACAATCAACTTGGGCCCCCTTTGGGGCAGCTTATTTACACGTTAGGTGTTTTGAAAACACCGTATTTGTTTTTCACGTTCGATCGGTGGATTCGGAAACGCGCGAGCTCTCTCGTCTCTCTCTCCAATTTCGGCTCGCCCAGAGCATGCACACAAGAAGCTTTGGCTCCCTTTCCTCCTCCGGATTTACGGCGATCCCAGGGACCCTCGATTGGAATTACATTATTTTTTATACCATAAACAGTTTTGTTGCAAACAACATTGCTTAACAGGGACAGAATAATCATTTATTCATAAACAGTTGCAAATCAATTGTTTTCAAACAGCCCAAAACAACTTATCCGGGTAAGCTGCTTATCAGCAGATTAGTCAATAAGCTACAGCTGTCTCAAATAGACCCTTAAGCCTACTACTTGAAATGAACAATTTGGGATAATTTCCCCTTTTTAAGCTTCTACTTGAGGAATGATAGCAAAGTGGAAAACCAAAAAGGTTATATAGATCATCATACTCAACCAAACGAAAATCATAAAATAAAAAAAAAAATTAACAGCTACCAACTTACTAAGAAAGAAAATGTATGCAATCTGACAAATCAAGCATAACCAGCAATTATCGCCAAGCAATTTCAATCGAGGACAAAATAGACGATAAAAACTCTCACTAAGGCATTATTTCTTTATGCCTTTTTTTTATAAATTTTTTAAAAAAAGCAGTTTTAAGAAAAGCAGCTTTTTAAAGTTCAACAAAAATAACGTTCTGAAATATTGATGAATAAATGAAGTTTTATTAAAAGCATTTTCTTAAAAAAGCATAACCAAAGAAGTTAACAAACGAATAAATGACTTTCTCTGAAACAGTCTCTGAAACAGAAAGAAGTAAGGAAGTTTCCTAAAACAAGGCCAAAATCATTGGTGAACAATTTTAAATAGCTCACAGTTTAACATGTGATAATTAAAACAATCCTTATCGGTCCTTAAGCCAACATCGAAAACATAATAAGCACAAATTTCTTCATAAAGTGCATCAGCAATCCCTCTCTAAGTCCCGCAACTATGAACAATATGCACAATAACGATTAGAAGAAAGAATCCAGCATTCAATAATTCATGCAAGAAACAAAAAACCATGTATAAATTATAGATCCAGCATTCAATTTAATTGTTTTAATTTATTGTATTGTGCGACAGTGCATGAGCGTATGCATGTGCAAGTACTGAGGACAAGCTTGAGTCTATATAGGTGAGGTAGGGAGATGGACAATTGACAACGCAAAAAAGTAGCCTGGCTTAATTTAGCATGTAATCAGCTGTAGTTCCTTTTACAATATTTTGGGAAAAGGGTGGGAGAAAGTTTATTCAAACCGACTTTCCATAAAATGATAACAACCAAGAGCACTGCTATTGTTTAATCTTATGACTGTTGCTGCAGTAAATCTCAAAATAAAAGATCTGAAGACGAATTGCCAACAGAAATCAAATAACACAAACCTCAATAATACATAGGCTTGGTGGTTCCCACCCACCTGCTGTTCAACTTCTTCTTCCCCGCTATAATACTACTCTCCCCGACCATTTCCTCCCACAGCATTAAAAATTAGTGAGAGAATGGCGATCTGCAAGCTCCTCTTAGCAGCAACCGCATCCCTTCTCCTCGCCGCCGCATCGGCCGCCACCTCTACAGTCCACGAAGAGCTCTCCAAGTACGGCCTCCCGCCGGGTCTCCTCCCCGACTCCGTTATAAGCTACTCGCTCGGCGGCAATGGAGAATTCGAAGTGCATCTCTCTTCTAAGTGCTACGTTAAGTTCATCGAAATTGTCTTCTACGACAAAAAAGTGAAGGGCAAGCTTTCCTATGGCCAGATCTCCGATCTCGAGGGCATCAAGGTCTTCAAGTTTTTCGGCTGGCTTCCAATCACTGGAATCGTCGCACATCCCGATGTTCAAAAGCTGGATTTCCAGTCTGCGTTCTTATCCGAAGTGCTCTCGTTTTCCTTATTCGCGACGATTCCGCATTGCATAGCGGGGAAGGGATCGTATCGTAGAATAGAGGGGCTGGTTGCAGAGCAATCCCTGGCTACCTCTGAGGTATTTTTTTCCTGATCTCTTATTTCTAATTGTTTCGGGATCTGAGAACATAGGGTTGGTTTGAGGAAAAAATTATTCTATACGGATCGGACACAGCAAGTAGCTTGCGCGCGGTGTCCGATCCAGACCGTAGATCTACGGTGTCGATGAATTTTAGTGGGCCCCATCTATTTTTTTTTAATAAAAAAATTGAAATAATTCAGGTCGTATCGGACACCGCATGCAGAGATGCATGCGGTGTCAGCATGCAATAATTCCTCTGGTTTGAGGGATCACGATGATGAACACCACTCGCAACTTGCTATTTACAAATGAAACCCTAACCTCAAATTCTCATTAACTTGATCGTCACATCAAATCGTTTGGTAGTTCAAAAAAAATATCTGGGTGGTTAATCTATAAATATTAATGTTTGGTGTGGCCTCTAGAAATTATTTGGAAGATTTACACATATACTATGTATTTACATATCTAACACCTAAACTTTAATTTATATATATGCTATATATTTCACTTAAAAAAAAAAACTAAAATAGCTATATATTTTATATGTACAAAGAACTTCGAGTTGTATGAATGTAAAAAATAAATTTTAAGTGTTAAATATATATAAATGCATGAGAATTGGGCGGTATTTTTTATTTATTTAAAACAAAATCTGAAGATTTACATAGTTTCAACTCAATTTAGACGTATTTACACATCTAAAACTTAAATTTCAATTTTTACAGACATTTCAACTAGGGCTGTCACAATGGCTCGTTGTTCGCGAACAACTCGTATTCGGCTCGTTCGCTAAGTTAACGAGCCGAACGCGAACAACACAAACAAATATTTGTTCGTTCGTGTTCGGCTCGTTTTGGCTCGAAACAGTACTAATCAATTATATATATATCTTTGATAAATAGTATTTTTAAAAAAAATTAATTGACTATAAGGCTAAAAAGATTTATAATCAATTAAAAGTGTTAATGAAGAAAATAAAATAAAAATTAATTTATTAGATTCAAATGATTTTTAAATCTTGCCCCAATCCTTAACATCTTATGGCTACGTGATTAGGGTTGTCAAAACGACTCTTTTTTCGGCTCGCTAAACAAACGAGCTAAATACGAACACACTTTTTGAGCTTGAAATATAAATGAGTCGAGCACGAGCTGCTTATGCTTGAAAAAGTGTATTTTAATTTAAAAGAAAATAATCTAATATTTTTGATGTGATATGAAAAATTTGAGTGCCATAAATGTAAAATGTAAATTTCAGGAGTTTGATATATTACATAGGTCTTGGGTGGTAGATAAATATAAGAAGAAGCTCTACCACAAATTCTAAGATTCTAGGATTTATTAAATTTTATAAATTAAAATTTAGCAAATTTTTTATTGAATCATAGATGACAAACATGATTAATTTTTAATTACTTAATTATCAAGCTAATTAATATTTAATTTAATGAACCAATTAAATGTGAAGCAATAGTTTGATATATATCAATTAATCATTAATTATCTATTCAGTTAACAGTCATCAATTCTAATTAAATCTGATTAAAATTTATTATTTTGCAGGTTTGAAGATTAGACATGGGGCGAGGGACGGCCAAAGTTGTCGGTGTGGTTTCATTCAGAGCCTTATCGTTTGCCAATAAACATGAAGAGGGAAAGGGATTCAGTCTATTTATGTTCTAAATAAGCGTCTCTCGTATCATGTCAGAAATTGTCTTTGTGAGTTCTAATAATCGTACGTGTCATTTTCAGCTTGCTGTCTTGGCTGTGATGTGTGAATTTAATCTATTTTGTTCAAAGGGGGCCGAGTTCAGCTTTTGAGTAGGGCTGTCAACACGGTTCGTTAATTTCGTTCGATAAGTTAAGGAGCCGAACACGAACTAAGATGTGTTTGTTCATATTCGGCTCGTTTTAGCTCGAAATACTATTCATCAAGTTTATATATATATATATATATATAAAGTAATATTTTAAAAAATTCTAATTAATTGGCTACAAGTCTACAAAGATTTATAATCAATTAAAATATTGATTAAAAAAATAGAATAAAAATTATTAAATAGAATAAAAATTATTAAATTAGATTCGAAAGAAGTTTTAATATAAATAATAATTTTTAAATCTTGCTCAAACAATTATTGTCTTATGACTATATGATTAAGGTTGTTAAAATGACTATTTGTTCGTGAACAGCTCGTTAGTCTCGTTAAGCAAACAAGCCGAACACGAACACACTTTTGAGCAAACGAGCGAACCATGCTCAGTTCGTGTTCGGCTCGTTAACACCCCTACTTTTGAGTATGATGTTGCATAATGTTATCTTAATAGAATATTGTAATATGTTTTTTATTAAATAGAAAATTATTTAAATTTAAATATGATAAATAATGAAAAATTATCGTTATTACGTAAATATTGAACGAGTTTATATAAATATAAATATTTAAATTTGATTCCTTTAATCTTTTGATTTCAAGGAGATGTTGAGATTCATATATTTATTAATTTGAATAAACTTGTTTTCGACTTGTCAATCGAACGCATAAATTTATATAAGGCTTAGTCCAAACAAATCGACTCTTAATTAAATTTCAAAAACTACTTCCAACACTCATTTCATAAATAAAATTTATTGATTTCGTGTCTAATTAAATATATATAGAACATTTTTTTAAGAGAAAGTAAATTTAATGCTAAGCAAAGCATCATTAGAAAGCGAATAAGTCACTATTTTCTAATAAGGGAATACTACCTGCAGCCCACCCAGCACACTGATATTTACGAAAAATTATTCCATACGGATCGGCCACCGCACGCAGCTTGCGTGCGGTGCCCGATCCGGACCGTAGATCACCTGATCTACGGTCCCGATGTATTTCGGTGGGCCCCACCGAATTTTTTTTTTTTTATAAGAAAAAACAGAAATAATCCTGACCGTAGATCACCGTGATCTACGGCCAGGATCGGACACCGCATGCAGAGATGCATGCGAAAATAAATATGTAGACGTTGACAGAAACGAAAAATAGGGGTTCGGATTTTACAATGGATTGGATTGTTTTAGATATTTGAGTGAGCTTTAATAATGGGTGAAAGTGGTCCATTTGTAAATAGCAAGTTTCGGCGTGATCTTTATGTAGTTGTAACTTGCACCTTTTAAAAAATGGTAAATCATTTAGTTGAAAAATCAATTAATATAAATAGAGTTATGGATTGAATCAGCAAAAATAAATGTACAAGATAAATGACACATCCGCAAATATTATTAAATATAATAAATGAAAAATAGTTGACGTTGAATGAAAAATAATAACGGAAAATATAGGTTTGGAGAATCCCACGTTCAAAAATTGGGGCATTTACATACATACCATACCATCCGATTCTATCAATATAGCTGACTAAATTTTATTTTTTATATTTATACCCCTCAAATCTTTCATTTCATACATTGTGTAAGGTAACATGTATGTAAAACTTATAATTTTAGGTGTTAAATATGTAAAATACAAAGGCATTGAATGGTAATTATAAATAAAATAAATCCAGAAAGTGAAGCATTGCAAGGCTCAAAAAGAAAACATATAAAAGTAGTGATATATCAAGTGCTAAGAAGAGATTGTAAAAAAAATTGTCTCAAAATAATTTCTTGTCACAGTCCTAAAACAAACAAGCAGGAAGCATCGAAATTTCAAACTGGGAACAAAAACGATCAAAAGAACAACCGCTGCGCAATCATGAATATTTAAATCATAAAACGGGTTCTAAAGAGAGAACAAAATAGCATAAACACACCCAAAAGCCAGCAGCCATTACTACTGATTACTTGCCCGCTCTACTGCTGACGAATTTCAGCCTTCTTTTTCTGCCACAGCCTATCAAGAGCACTGTCCGCATCTCCCTACAAAGAAAAAACACAGATATTTCATGGAGATATTCATGAAATTACGTCACAAACATATTGAAAAGTCTTAATATTGCTATTTTTTTTATGTGATATTAAAATTTAAGGGACTCACATACATAACAACAAATTCTTATGTATTTATCCATCTCACATCAAAACTTTGATATTTATCTGCATACCAATTTACCCATGCATGTAAAGGGAGTTGTATACAAAAATAATTTGTGATAGATTTGATATGATAGGAAAGAAATGAGTGGATTGTGGATAAATATGAAGATTTGGGGTTGAGATATGTGAATACAAAAGAATTGAATGCTATTTATGTAAATGCCCCAAATTTTAAGTGCTATGTGTGCAAATAAGAAACATTATGCCACGACTTAGCCAAAAAGCTTCAAATTACCAAGAAGTGCACTGACTGACTATCGGAAGGCAAAAACTATCCAACAGGAAATTTGAGAAACATGAAATTTTCATGTTTTAAAACATGAAATTGTATCGTTTTGTTTAATATTTGAGTAACATGAAATTTACATTTTAAAAGAAATACTAAAAACATTAAAAAATTGTATCGTCTTCATAAATAAATATAATTATTATAAAACAAAAAACATATTTGCAAACCTGTACAGACTATAGTTTATCGTTATTTTCCTTGGATCAATCTATTGTTTAAGTACATCTATAATAATTTAAATTTGATTATTATTGATATAAACTCGTTCAACAAATTATAACCCGGACAGACTATAGTTTATTGTCATTTTCCTACGATCAATCTGTTCTTTAAGGACACTTACAATAACAATTTAAATTTGATTAATATTGATATACACTAGTTTAGCAAACTACAACTTCCTGTACAGGTGAATAAATATGTTTTTTTTAATTTTACAATAACTTCATTTATTTAAGAAAACAAAAGCAACTCTTTTTACTGCTTCCAGTATTTCTTCTAAAATGTAAAAGTTTATATTTCCAAATCTTAAATAGAAGAAATAAATAAAATAAGATTAAACATGGACACAAGAAGTCACACCTAAAATACTGAAAAGGGATGCAATGTAATTGTCCATGCTAAATTGAGATTGAAATGAAAATAGATGTCAAACTTTATGGTGGGCTGAAAAAAATTTATACTCTTAGTATGTGTTTAAACAGGTGACTCCTAATGAAAGAAGTTATAATTAAAATGAATAAAAATAACCAGAAAATTTTTTTCTTTACTGTTATTTTTTTTTCCCTGCTCAAAGTATCATTACTGCTTGCTGTATTTTTATAAAAATATTTTAAAAATGACAATCACTATAATTTATAAATATTTTACCCACTGAGTAGTTTAACTCAAACATTCAACTCATAACAATTTCGAAAAAGTTCTATTATAGTATAAATGAATCACAGAGTGTGTTGTAGAAACACCGAAAAGCTCAAACTGATAGCTATAATATTTCAGATTTACATTTTGTTATTTGTAAAATCTGAATATAAATAAATTATTTTAAATTAAGATTTTATGAAATAAAATAATTCTTTTGTGTCTTGGATTATGTTTAAATATGAAAAGAAACTATTTGACAATTTTCCTTTGTCCGACTGTTAGTTTACGCCTTGTTAATTTCAAACTCCTAGGTCGGGTCGTGAAAAATTAAGTGTGAGATATATAAATACATAAAAATTTTGTTATATCCAAGTAAATATTTCTTATCAAGGGTCTATTGTTCAAAATGATGATAATATTGATGGGGATGTTATTAGTAGAATTCAAGTTGATTGGTTGAAGTGGAGGAATGCTTCAACCTATTGTGTAATAGAGAAGTGCCGCTTTGACTGAAAAGAAAATTTTATAAGATGGTGGTGAGACCTGCAAAATACTGTCATTGCCGGTCCCAAGCCCGGATGTGAAAAGTGGAGGGTTGCGTTAAGTAGTCGACATGCAGCGTTAAACTTTTTGAAAAAATCATGACATGAATTCTTTTGATCATTGTGTAAGTGCTAGGGCGTCCCCTAAAAGCGACGTGTTGTATGACCTGAATATAGTGAAAAGTGTGCAAAAGTCATTATACCAAAGCCCAGGTATAGTGTCAAATAAGCAAGGTTTTCACATTACGGATGGTTGTGATAAAGAAGTTAGTCCATAAAACTAATGGAACTAACATTATGATAATATCTTGGAAAATAAATACTCTCAATGATAAATTAATGGAATTAGCTGATATTATTATTCATAGAAGGATTAATATATTATGTATTCAAGAAACAAAATGGGTTAAAGATAGGCTAAGGAGATTGATAATTTAGATTTTTAGCTTTGGTATTCTGGTAAGAGTAACACTAAACATGGTGTAGGTGTTATTATAAATAAAAGTTTGAAAGATTATGTTGTAAAAAATAATCGAGTTATAGATAAAATTATAGCTCTTAAGATTACATTGATACTAAGTTTTTTAATATTATAAGTGTTTATGCTCCTCTGGTAAGTTTAGATATAGGGTTTAAAGAAAAATTCTAGAACTTAGAAGACTTAATACAAATGATACCTCTTGAAGAAAGAATTTTTATTGGAGATTTAAATAGATAAGTCGATAGAGTGGTTGAAAATTTCAGAAATATTCATGGTGACTACAGTTTGGAGTTTCTAATGAAGAAGGTAGAGTCATTTTAGATTTTGTTTTAGCGTATAATTTTATTATTACTAATACTTTATTTTAAAAAACAGATGAACATTTTATTACTTATAAGAATGAATCTAATAAAACACAAATTGATTATTTTCTTATGAGAAGAGATTGTCGAGATTGTAAAAATTGTAAAGTCATTTCAAGTGAGGATTCAAGTACCCAACATTGATTATTAGTTCTAGATTTTAATATGAAGAGTTGTAAAATAAAAAAATACCAGAACTCATCATCATAGAATTAGATGTGGGAACCTAAAAGACAAATAAAATTATTTTTATGAGTAAAATTCAAGATTTCAAAATTTGGGATATTCATGAAGAAATAAATATTATGTGGGATAAAGTAACAAATAATAATAAACATGTAATAAAAGATGTACTTAGAGAATCAAAAGGAAAAAGTTTTTTATAAATAAAAATAGTTTGTATCGGAATAATAATGTGCAATAAAAGATAAAATAAAAGAAATTAAGCCATAAAAATTAGTTTAAATGTAAAAGCTTAGAGAATTGAAAAAAATATCAAAGAGCCCGCAGAGTCTAAAAAACAATCTGCGACGCTAAAAATTTTGCTTTTAGTGAAAAATATATGTATAAACTAGTCAAAAAAAGAGATAAGAAAAGTAAAGATTTAACTCAATTAAAGTGTATTAAAGATAAAAATCAAAAAGTGTTTTTCTTAGAAAAAGAAATTCAACATAGATGGGTGAGTTATTTTTATAATTTTTTTAATAAAGTTTCTAAAAATACGACCGACCATAGTGATCTTAATATTGTAACAATAATAAAACATTTCATTTTTACCGTCTCATTAGTAAAAAAAAGTTGATGAGGCTTTAAAAAAACAAAAGGTTAAAAGTCGGTAGGACCTGATGATATCCCAATTAAAGTCTGGAAATATTTAGGAGATTTGAGAATTTCTTGGCTTACTAAACTCTTTAATATTATTTTAAAAACTTAAAAAGATGTCAATTATAAAGGAATAAAGTCGATGTGTCATAGTTTAAAATTATGAGAGAGGGTAATTGAACATAGGTTAAGACAAATTACAAAGACATAATTAATTTGGATTTATGTCGAACAGGTCTACTAAGGAGGCTATACATTTATTAAGAGGTTTGATGGAGAAGTTCATAGATAATAAGCAGAATCTACATTTGATTTTTATTGATTTAATTTAGAAAAATACGATAAAGATCCAAGAAATATCCTTTGGAGAGTTCTTGAGAAGAAAGTTGTTGATAAGACTTATGTTCAAGTCATTAAAGATATGTATGCTAGAGTTGTTACTTGTGTTCTAACTGAAGAAGGATTGACCAAATATTTTCCTATTTCTGTTGGATTACATCAGGGATCGGCTTTAAGCCCATATCTTTTTGCTTTAGTTATGGATGGTCTTACTGGATTACTGGACATTTACAGAACGATGTACCTTGGTGTATGTTTTTTGCTGATAATATTTTTCTTGTGAATAAGACTGAAGAAAGAGTTCAGGGAAAACTTAAAATTATAGAGGTCTACATTGGAGTAGAACTAAAACTGAATATAAGGATATAATTTTAGTAGTAATAGCTCTAGTGACAGAGTTGTAACTATGAGTGATCAAATCATTACTAAGTGTGAACGCTTTAGGTATCTCTGGTCTATTGTTCAAAGTGATGGTGATATAGATGGGGATGTTATTCTATAGATGAAGATGTTAGTAGTAAAATTCAAGTTGGTTGGTTGAAGTGGAGTGTTTCGGGCCTTTTGTATGATTAAAAAAAGTACCACTTAAACTGAAAGGAAAATTTTATAAGAGAGTGGTGAGACATGCAACACTCTATGATGTTGACCGTTGGCCTTTAAAAGAGAAGCATAATACTAAGTTAAGTGTTGCCGATATGAGAATGATTAGGTGGATGAGTGGCTTTACACTTAGAGACAAAATGTGAAATGATTATATCCGTGATAGTGAAATGATTATATCCGTGATAGGGTTGGTGTAGCCCCAGTGACAAACAAAATTAGAGAAAGTCGTCTTAGATGGTTTGGCCACATTAAACGTCGACCATCCGATGATCTGATTAGAAGAGTAGATGTTTTAGATTCGACTTATGTTAAGAAAAACAGAGATAGACCTGGGAAGATTTGGGCATATTGTATAAAAAATGATCATAAAATATGACACTAAATAGGACGCAACGAAGAAAAAGAATTCATGTAGCCGACCTCACTTAGTGGGATAAAGGTTCTGTTGTTATTGTTGTTGTTGCCGTTGTTGTTGTTATTGTTAGTAAATACTGCTAAATTAAAAAAGAAAACTTACATACCATATGATTCTTATGTATTTACATATCTAGCACCCAAAATTTTATATTACACTTAAAAATTTTCTTTACATAACTCTATGCATGAAAAGGTACATTTCACTTCTAAAAGAGAAGTAATGGTAATATTTTTGATGTCACATTAAACATTTGAGTCAAATACACGTAAATATGAATGCTTAAATGATAGGTATAAATAAACAAGAATTATGTGGCATGTAGGTAAATATGCCAATAAAATATTACCAAGTAAAACAATGCTTAAAATTAACTGAAACCCAATCAATGCAAGAAAAAAAAACCTTTTAAAAATCAAATGGATTTCAACTTTACCTTAAAAATTAATTGAAAGAAATCAAACGACAGTATCTCATATGCATTTAGTCTCTCAATAAAAGCAGATGTATTTTTTTTCTGCCCTGTATTGGCCAAATGCATTTATTAAGGGTATATATGAAAAGGAACATACAGAACGGCATAAGATTTCAAAAGCCTAAGGCATTTATGTACAACGGTTAAAGCATGACACAAAATCAAGCAAAGCAATTAAGCATACGAAGCATTGTCTAAATGGATTTATGTAATCTCCAATCAATCCCTTTCAGTAATAAGACAACAGTTTACACCATCAACTTTCGAATATTTTATGCCCAACAAGGAATTTTTTACAAAAGTACCGCTCAATTCTTATATATTTACATAGACAACACCAACACTTCAGTTTATAAATATGCCATTGTACCTATGCATAAAAAGGTTTACCTCACTTTTTGAAAGTTTAACGGTTTGTTTGGTTGGCAGTAAAAGGAATCCATTCATTTTGTAGGACACTTTAGGTTTCAGGCGTTTGGTACGATGACAATTAAATCTAGTATAAAATATTAGTGTAAAATATGAATGAATTGAATTCATTTTTTAGTTCATTTTATTTATATTTGAAATCCAATAGATTTAACCGAATTCCAAAAACACGGCCTTATGTAGTGTTGTCATCCACTGCATTAGCCACCACCATCAACCGTAGACATAGTTGTTCGCCACCAACTCCGGCCACTATCGCTGATCACCACCATCTTTGGCCACTGCCACCGGTCTCCATCACCGGCAACAACCGTCATTGACTACCACCAACTTTGGTCACTGTCATCGGTTGCCACTAACTCTGGCAACCGTTGTCGATTGCCACCACCTCTAGCCACTACTACGAGTTGTTGCCATGGCCACCACCATCAGCCTCCGCCTTCCACCATAATCGCCAATAAGTTATACAACATCTCAAAAACTATGAAATACATTATTCTTATTCTATTTCAAAACAAACAAAAAAATTATAAAGTTGTACGTTTATTTAGGGTGAACCAAATAACTTAAAACTACTCCAAATATAAAACATTACTGCTGCATTGCGTTCAGCTTATACAACAATACTTTTTCAACAAACCAAACAACCTATAAGTGATTTGTGTGGCATAAATGTTAAAAAAAAAATGTTGTTAGATAGGTAATACAATGGCATTGGGTTGGTATGCATGTAAATGCCGCAAAAGCTAAATAAGAATTAAATACACTAAAAACTAGTATAATTACAATTACAACTTACAAGGGCCTAAACCACGATAAAGAATTGACAGCAGTAAGAAGTTATAAACAGCAGTTCAGTTAAAAGCGAATTAAAGGGAAATTAAAAGGAAGTTCACCAACCTGAGCTCGGATGAATCCAGAAAGCGCGAAAGTGGAAAAGGTCCTAGTATAAACTCCGTGCTCGTCCAAATGACCAATGTTAATCTGGACTGCTGCGTGATCCTTGGCGTTAATTAATTGGTTTGTTGCAGAGCTGCAGAAGGATTTCCAAAAAATATCAGACAGCAAAGACAAATATCAGTGAAATTTAAAATCACGGTAATATATAAAACAAACAGAGATCAGGCACCATAAATTGGATAGAATAAAAGATACCATTTCCTGGGAATGTAAAGATCCACAAGTTGACCTTCTTCATTCTGCATTTTGAAGCAGTATTTGGCAGTCGGTAGGGCAGTAAAGCTTTATTTTCCTGAAAAGCAGAAGATCGAAATACACCCAAAATAATAAAAAAGAAAAAGAAAAATTGATCTAAATCCAACACTGCTAATAGAAAATAATCAATTACAAAGATGCTAAAGGAACAAAAAGAAGCAGATTCGCATTATTAATTGTGGAATTAACCAAACACAAAAAACAAAAAAACGAACACATGACCTATCTCGTCCAAAAGCTTCTCAGCGTTCAATGAAATCCAAAGAATCTAAATAGATCTACTATTTCGGAATAATTTAAAATAACTTCACAAATTAAAGAAGAAAACCAAGAAAATATAGTGTGCATAACATTAATTCTCATGAGTCGAGATCCTACATGAGTTCACTCAGGACGAAAAATACAAAAAAAAAAAAAAACGTAGAAGAAGAGTAAACCTAGGATTGAATCAGAAATCTGCGTCTGTTTCAAAGACAACAGAAAAAACCTAACTGCGTAAAAGCTAGAAGAGGGCGCCCCTACCACGCTGAACTTGAGCCAACCAAGGGTTTCGGCAGAAATCGTAAAATGAATCCTAAAAAAACATCCAGAACATCCCAAAACTACATAAGACTTCAGATTTATAAGAAACAAAACAAGTTAACAAAAAGGAAAGCCTGGATCATCAAAATTATTCAATCCAAGTAGCACCAAACTTCAAAAAACCGTAAACTATAGGATTACCAGATCTACTAATACTGCAGGTAAATCTAAAAAGACGAATCTCCTAATCGGTTGAATCAAAAGAAAAAAAACAAAAACAAAAATAAGAGAAAGATCGGATAAGTGGAGAAAGCATAGTAGCACGAATAAACTCACCAAAAGAACGCCGCCCGTCAACGGCTCTCCTCACCTCTTCGTTCTCGTTCTTCCCTCCTGTCAACTGGAGAAAAGCTTTCTCCGAATCTCAAACCTCAGTTCTTATAGCCGCCAGTATCGATGGAGAAGAATCCGGTGATAAACCCTAACTCGATGCTGTAATGTCTTAGTGACTAAAATACCCCTTTTAAGCTGTTGAATTTTGGACCGTTGATTTGAGGAGCCCATACACGCTGCATTTTGGCCAAATAGATCCCCATGTAGAAATTTTCGTAGAAAAAAAATTTAATTATTAATTTATTTATTTTGATATTTATGTTATTTTTGTAAAATTTTTTTCTCAATGAATAGTTTTAAGGAATAATGTTTAACATATCCTATTTATAAATCTATGAAATGAACATTATTAGAGGTGTCGAAATGGCTCGTTTTGCAGCTCGTGTTCAATACGTTCTAGCAAATGAGTTGAATGGTAGCAATGAATATATAATGCATATTATTTTTAAATGATTTAATTGACTAAAATGTTACAACGAATTATAATCGATTGAAATGATTAATTTAAAAAAATAGAATAAAAATATATTAAATTTTATTTAAATAAATTAGAGATATTAAAAAGGCTTGTTGTTTGCGAACAACTAGTGTTTGGCTTGCTAAGAACACAAATTCAACACTAACAACCCTCGATATATTAACGAACTGAATACGAACAACTGTATTTTTTAACAAGGCGAACAGGAGTTAAGGTTGGCCTCGCTCAAGCTCATCTTGTTTACACTCCTAAACATTGGGAAAAATATTACATCATGACTCTTAACGTAGAGCTACGTTCATAGTCCACTGATATGCGGACATGTGGCTTCAAGGAAACGCGCGCGCTTTTCTGTGATATGTCCTTGTAACACAGACGAATATTCCTCTTGTGTTATGTTATTCCACGTTATTCAGGTGTTATTGTGATGATATTGATATGTTATTGTTTTCTTATAATACCGAAAATATTCCCAAAACACAATAATACATAAATATCACCACAATAACACCTGAATAATATATAATAACAATGGAGGAATATTTCTCTACGTTAAAATGATTTTTTTTAATTTTTCTGTCAGCTCCACGTGTCCGTATATTAATGGACTCCTCACGTAGCTCTACATTAGGAGTCTTGACGTAATATTTTTCCTAAAGATTGTGAGAATGACTTTCAAAACTCAAGGCATATCATTAAATCAATTTGATATATCTTAGGAGCATTAATTTCATCTCATTGAATTGCTATTTTCAAGTGCATGTGGGGCATTTGATTATTTATTTATTTATTTATTCAATTGCTCTCAGAGACTTCGACTTATATATTCAAATATTTCAAGTTTATCGGACTCATATTAATTTGCTATAAGATGTTATCATCTTAATAAAAAAATTATTAAAAGTAAAATTCAATTTTCTAAATATTAATTATGGAAATTAAGGGAGTGTTCGATTCGGCTTTGTTTAGAAACGAACCACATTCGAGCCACTAGCATTCCAACCCTCGAAAACGTCGTTTTATAAATAATAATAATAAAAAAAAAACATTCAGGTCTTTTTGAGGCAGCTTATTTGGCATGTTTGCGTTTTGGAAACGCATCCAAAACATTTGTTTAGTGTGTTTTTCCTGTTTATCCAAAAACGGTGTTCGGGTTTCATAATAAACACTACCGCGAGATTGGGCCCGCAGCCCGTGATCTTACGTGCCCTTATTACCCGCTTGCCCTTCGCTCCTCGCTCTACCCTAGATGACTCCTTGCTCTCTTCTCTCCCTCGAATGCTCCAATCTCGCGATTAGCGATCTCTTTCACCTCTTCCTCTTCCCTCTGACCTCTAGTTACTGTGCTTTGTAAGTAATTTCAATAAAATTTGTGGCGATTTTTTGATGGAATGATACTCTCTACGCGACTTTCCGATGAAATGACTTTCTTTACCCAATTTTACGATTTTTGGATAATTTGGAGAATCGGTGAAAGCGAATTGAGCTGAATGTGATTGTGTGTCACGAGGCATTACACGATTTTGTGCTGGATTTGCTTGTTGAGTTGCTATGGCAGTGGTGCTATATATTCTTGATGCTTATATGCATTGGGGTGAATATGAGAAGGGCGAGGGGCTTAAAATTTACATGCCAGAAAATTCCACCACAATTTTTTGACTTCTGCAAGAAAAGTAAAGTGTCCCAAAATGTTGCTATAGTTATAATATATTTCTTATTGTTTAATACAATGATAAATATATATAAAAGCTGTGATTTTTATATAATATAAAAAGATGGGATCTTCGAATATTTTTGTACAAGCAACACTTTCAAAATTAAAATTTTCAGATAGAAAAATAACTTTTAAAACACCAAGCTTTTAAATAACAGAACTTTTGAATTGAGATTTCGTGCAAACACAACCGTCTCAAAAGCACCCTAAAAATTCTGAGATATGAAATTGAAAAGAAGCTTTAAGTACTTACCACTTAATTCTTATGAATTTACATAAATAACATCTAAACTTTATGACATTTGTCAAATTATATCGACAGCCACCAGTAGAGCGGAGCGCCGCACCATTGTCCATTTCATTGCGAAGGAACCTTAAACGGTAACACTAGCACTACAATCTGCGAGCCTCGGCTTCACAAACAAAATGGCAATGATAAAGAAGCAAGCATTAAAGCTTGCAGTAACACTAGCACTACAATCTGCGAGCCTCGGCTTCACAAACAAAATGGCAACGGTAAGAAGCAAGCATTAAAGCTTGCGTGAGGCGAGGGACGATACCGACAAGAGAGATCAAGTGAGCGACAGAAGAAGGGCACGGGAGGAAAAATTTGCTTGATGTGGATTGAAGACACGGGCTGCAGAGTTGATCCGGCGGCCCCGTCTATTAAGAAAATCAAAACGACATTTTTTTATAAACTTTTTGAACGCAAGAAATAAACCTTGCACGGCATTTTCAAAATATTACCCGCACTTATAAACTACCGAAACGGGCCCTTAGTGCGCCTTTTAACAAAGCCACAGATAGCCACCATAACTCTTCACACATCCATTTCGTCTGCAATAACTCACTTTACTGTAGATTCTTGACATCTGCAGCCGCCACAAACAAAACCTAATTTAGTGAGCTTCCTTTTATTTTAAGTTAAATATAAACTCGATTTTCTAAAGTTAAAACTTACATCAAATTTAATGGAACCTATTAAATGAAAAAAAAATATTTAAATTTTTAATATTTATCATATTTAGAATCGGTCAAAGTTGATTGATCACAGATGGAGCAAATAAAGTCTCAAACTTGCTTACAATACAAGATATTAAAGCCAGTTATAAAACAAAATAGACATTGGCTGATACTATTTCATATGGAATGTCACAGATTTATGTGACCGTTTATCCCCATACCTTACTAAACCCTAGTCAAGAATATATAATCTGATAAGATGACAGACAAAAATACAGTGTTTAATACATGCTACCAAAGGATCAGTCCCAAGCGCTTGTAAACCCTGACCCGGAGTTGGCTCCACCACCACCACCACAATAATCAGATGACGCTCCACCACCATAACCCCCACCGCCTCCACCAAAGCGACCTCCTTCTGTGCGCCGACTATGACCGCCACCTCCGCCAGAAGATTGAGATGCATACTGAGCTAGCCAAGGAGGTACCTCTTGGTTCGATTCCTGCATGACCTCAGGCAGCGGCTAGGCCAAAGAAGCATTGCTTTCGTTAAAGAATGCAGTCGCCGAACCCGACTTTCCTGCCTTCCCGTTCTTCCGAT